GGCCCGCGCCGCCCGCGGCGGCCCCCGCGGCGCGCGCGCCCACGGCGGCGCGCGCGTCCCGGGGCCCGCCGCGCGCCGCGAGCGTCGCGAGCACCTCCGCGGCGGCGGCCGCCGCGGAGCCCTCCGCGGAGAGCGCCGCGGACCGCTTGCCCGCGGCGACGGCCGCGAGCTCCTCCTGCGCCGCGACGAGCGCGCCCCGCGCCGCGCCCCGCGCCGCGCAGCGCTCGCGCGCGCGGCTCGCGAGCGCCGCGAGGTCCTGCGCGGACATCGACCGGTGAGCTCGGGGCCGAACGTCGGAACCCTCGAGCTCGGTCGATTCGGCTGATTTTTGGACGAATCGTGTTTTCTCTCGTCGAGTGCTCGAAGCACGGCTGAACGGTCGCATACGCGCACATTTTGAAGTCGGGTTGAAGATTTGAGTTCCGCGCGGGCGAGCGCCGCGCGGTCGCGGCCCGAGAGGCCGTCGCCCTTCTCCGGCGGCGGCGGCGCGCGGCAGACCGCGGCGAGGAGCGCGAGCGCGCCGTGCTGGCGCGACGCCACGTCCTCGCCGAGCCACGTGCCGCAGGCGTCGAGGGCGTCGCAGCACGCGTCGACGGCGGGGAGGGCCCTGGCCCGCGGCGCCGGCTGGCCGACGAGCGCCGCGAGGGCGAGGAACGGCGCCGGCCTGCCCTCTTTGAGGCGCAGCAGCTCCCGCGCAACGGGGTCCCCCTGGCCCGCGAAGCAGCTCGCCGCCATCAGCTAGCTGCTGGACGGGCTGCCCCATGATGTCGGGCCAAAAGCCATGCTGCTGGACGGCAGCATCATCGGCCGCGCAAGGGAAACATCATGAAGATGCATTAGGCGAAGCCCGAGTGATGGCCGCTTCCAGCCCCCATCGATCGGTGTTGCTTGCCGGCGCGGGCGCCGCGGCAACGGTCGCGGCGCTGTATGGCTACTGGTACCGAGCCGCGCACCGCGCGCCTGAAGCCGACGCCGCGGAAGCCTCGAGCTCCGCCGCGGAAGCCTCGAGCGCCGCCGCGGCGTCCTCGGACGCGCCCGCCGGCGCGCCGGGCCTGCCGGCGGGCGTGGCGGCGCCGGCCCTGGCCGCCGGCGACGCGGCGGCCATCGCCGCGCGGCTGGGCTTCGTGCCGACGAACCTGCTGCGCGTCGCCGCGCGCGACGGCGCGGGGTCGCCGCGCGTGCTCGAGCTGTACCCGCTGCGGCGGAGCGACCCCGGCGGCCGGCGGCGGCCGGCCAGGGGCGTCCAGCCCTGGCCGACGACCTTCTGGCTCGTCGACGGAAACCTGAGCGACCGGCTCGCGGCCCTCGAGCGCCGCGGCTACGTTGGCCGCCTCGAGCGGCGGCTCGCGGCGGCCGGCGGCGCGGACGCCGCGGCCGCGCGCGCCGCGCACGCCGCCGCGGGCGAGGCGCGCTGGGCCGCGCTCACGGACGCGGACCGGGCCCTGGCGCGCGCCCGCGGCTGGGAGCCCGCGCTGCGGCGCGTCGGCGTCGCGGGCATGCGGCTTGGCACCTCCGTCAAGTGCCTCCACGCCTACTACGCGTTCCACCTCGGCGCGCGCGACGCGCCGGGCGTCGCCGGCGTCGCCGGCGCCTGGGGGCCCGTCGGCGGCTGGATCCACGACCTCCTCGAGCGCCGCGCGGACGAGGCCGACCTCGGCGGCGACGGCGACGGCGACGACGCGCCGCTCGACACCGGCCGCGCGGGCGGCCGCGACCGGCGCTGGCGCCGCGAGCGCGAGCGCGCGGCCCTCGACGCGCGGCGGCGCGACCGCTGCGCCCCGTGCGCGGCGTAAATGTTTTTTTCAGCGACATCGTGGCTTCAACATTGAAGTTTTGAGAGAGGAGCTATGGCTTGCTAGAGTCGCCGCGACATGTCGGCGCTGCCGACGCGGGTGCACGTGCTCGGGTGCGGCGCCCTCGGGTCGCTCGTCGCCGCGCGGCTGCAGGCCGCGGGCGTGCCCACGGCCGTCGTGCTGCGCAAAGGGTCGCCGCGCTGGCGGTGCGTGCGCGGCGACGGCACCGTGGGCATCGCCGTCGCCGAGGCCGACGGCGGTACGACGCGCGTCGCCGTCGCCGCCGTCGACGGCGTCGACGCGGCGGCGCCGTCGCCGCGCGTCGTCGTCTGCACCAAGGCCTACGACGCCGCGGCGGCCGTCGCGGCGGCCGTCGGCGGTCGGCGCGACGCGCGGCTGCTCCTCCTGTGCAACGGCGCGCTGTCGCTCGGCGGTGTGGACGCGCGCGCGGCCGCGGGCGCGACGACCCACGGCTGCTACGAGCGCGCGCCCTTCGACGTGCTACACGCGGGCCCGGGCACGGTCTGGGTCCCCCGGGGCGGCTTCGCGGCCGCGCTTGGCGCCGCGGCGTCGCTCAACGTCGTCGCGCTGGGGCCGGACGACATGGCGGCGCGGCTCTGGCGCAAGCTCGCGGCGAACTGCGTGCTCAACCCGCTCACGGCGCTCCACCGCTGCGACAACGGCGCCGTTCTGCGGGACCCGGCCCGCCGCGACGTCGCGGCGCGGGTCCTCGCCGAGGTCGCGGCCGTCGCGCGCGCCGACGGCTGGCCGGGTGCGACCGCGGGCGACCTCGCGGCCGCCGTCGACGCCTGCGCCGCGGAGAACGCGGCCAACTTCTCGTCCATGTACCAGGACTGCAAACGCGGCCGCCGCACGGAGGTGGACCACCTCGGCGCCTGGGTCGCGGCGCGCGGCGCGGCGCTCGGCGTCGACGCGCCGGAGAACGCGCGCCTCGCGGCCGACGTCCGCGCCCTCGAGCCATGGGGGGACTGAGGGGGGACGCGTCGCGTGCTTCAAGGCCGCTTCAGCGTGGCAGCGAGCACTTCTGGTGAAGGAGTTGAGGCCGGCTCGGCTCGCCAAGGTAAAAATTTTACCCCACGAACCCCCCTGGATAAGCGACGTGCCGGACCGCGAGCTGCGCAGAGCTCTGGCGCGCGTTGACGCGCGTGCAGGCCTCTCTCGCAACACATGCAGCGCTGGGAGCGCGCCGGCGAGGGCGCGTGGGCGGCGCTCGAGGAGGACGCGGAGGGCCGCCTCGTCGACGGCGGGCCCGGGTCGCGCGACGGCGGCGGGAAGCGGCGGCGCGTCGGCGGCGGCGCCGGGGGCCTCGCCCGGGGCCTCATCCGCTACGTCGCGCTCGTCGTCGACGGGAGCGCGGCGGCCGGCTCCGGGGATTTAAGGCCGAGCCGGCTCGCTGCGTGCTGCGCCGCGGGCGCCGAGTTCTTGGCGGACCTCTTCGCGGGCAACCCCTTCAGCTCCGCGTGCGTCGTCGACGCGCGCGACGGCGCCGCGAAACTCGCGTCGCCGCTGTCGGGCGCCGCGCGCGCGCACGCCGACGCGCTCGCCGCCGTCGGCCGCGCGGCGCCCGCGGGCGCGTTCTCGCTGCAGCGCGCGCTCGAGGCCGCGGCCGCCGCGCTCGAGGCCGCGCCGGACTACGGGTTCCGGGAGGTCGTGGTCTTGTCGAGCTCGCTCGCGACGCGCGACGCGGGCGACCTCAACGCCGTCGCCGCGCGCTTGGCCGCGGCGAAAATCCGCTGCCACGTCGTGAACCTCGCCGCGGAGACCTACGTCGTGCGGAAGCTCGCGGATGCGACGGGCGGCGAGTTCGCCGTCGCGCTCGACGCGGGCCACCTCGCGGCGCTCCTCGGCAACCGCGTCGAGCCGCCGCCGCTCGCCGCGGACGACGCGCGGCTCGCGGGCGAGCCGCCGCCGCTCGTCGACATGGGCTTCCCGCGGCTCCGGGTCGAGCCCGCGCCCGCGCTCGCGTCCTCCGCCGGCGGCGCGCCGGCGTGGCGCGCGACGACGCACGCGTGCCCGCGCTGCGCGACGCGCGCCGCGGAGCTGCCCGCGGCCTGCGCCGTCTGCGACCTCCCGCTGGTCTCCGCGCCGCACCTCGCGCGGAGCTACCACCACCTGTTCCCGGTGGCGGCCTTCCCCGGCCGGGTAGCCGAGGACGGGGCCTGCTTCGCCTGCGGCGGCGGCCTCGCGCCGCGCGCCTTCGACTGCCCGGCCTGCGGCGCCGCGTTCTGCGGCGACTGCGACGAGGCCGTCCACGCGGCGCTCCACGTCTGCCCGGGCTGCGGCTAAAAAAACGGGGCGGCGCTAGTAGTAGCTCGGGATCGTCGTCCCCTGGCGGCGGATCGCGTCCGCGACGCGCGGCGACGCCGGCAGGAAGTCCGCCGCGCGCGACCGCGGAGTCCGCGGCGCGCGGCGCCGCGCGGCGCCGCGGAGCGCCGCGACGCCGGCGGCGAGGACCGCGAGGTGGTGCCGCCGGAGCGCGGCCTTGAGCCGGAAGAGGCCCCGGTCCACGTTCGCCGCGCGGAGCGCGGCGGCGACGTCCGCGACGAGGCGCTTCGTGGCCAGGCGCTCCTCGCGGCGCGTCGCGTCGCGCGCGGCCGCGGCCGCGGCCGCGCGCGCGGCGTCGACGCCGCCCTCGAGGGCCGCGGCGCGCGCGACGGCCGCGGCGCACGCGGCGCGCGACGCCGCGAAGCCGCGGTTCGCGGCGCGGAGGTCCGTCGTCGCGGCCATCGCGCGCGCCTCGGCCGCGGACGCGCGC